ACATCTGACCCGCGACATCCGGCAAGTTTTCTCCGTAACTTTTTATAATTAAATTTTTAAAAAGTATCATCTCAATTTTTTGATCGGTACACTGAGCTATTCCATAGTTTTTGTATGTATTTCCCGATTATTTATGAGACTATTATGATGGTTGTTATCAATTTCATTCATTGATTATTTTAGGGACATGGTGATAACGCATATATTCAACGAAGGGAACAATTGAATGTAATTGCCAAAGCTTATAAATAGTAAGTTTACTGGCTAGCGTTCACTTTTAATTTTCCGCCTTCTCAATGAAACCTTAAGTATTTTCTTCCTATTCATCCAATATTTTCTTCATTCATTATCTATCACTATCAGAATGAAAATTACCGCAAATGATGCATATCAATGTGGTTATATGCTAGTGATAGAACATTTCAGGCTAATTTCTATTTCAGTGGCGATAAATTGCCAGATATTGAATATAGTCCAGAAGAGCACAAAACTTGGGAAGTTGTTTTCAATAAATTGAAATCATTGCACTCCTCCCATACTTGTATGGAATATCAGCAAAATTTTAAACAAATGGAATTGGAAGGCCTTCTAGAACCTACTCGAATACCAAAATTATCGCTTGTTAATAAATATCTACAACGTAAAATTTGCAAAGTTTCTCAAAATTCTCATCAATGTATTGCTCAATGTCATAGAATAATTAATTGTGTTTAAATTGATTTTAAAAAATTGTACTTTAGAATGGATTAACTATTTTCATTTTCCTGGAAAATCTTGAAAACAAAATCATCTAAGGTTTTGTTTTCATCTGAGGCCTTATTTTGCATTCGATATTTCTGTTGCTCCAGCTTGGTATATTAAAATAACACAATTTATTTTATAACCTTCACGATAAATTATCAAAATCTCGAAATTTTCAGCTCAATCTTTAATTCTTAAACTTTTTCTATCTTATTAATAAATAAGACTAGTCTATAAGTTTATTTATGAATAGTTATGTCACTTTGCACACAGATATTATTTATCAATAGTTATATACAAAGTGATATAATTATTCATAAAGAATATCTTATTTGATTTTAATTTAAAGAAAAAATTATCACGAATAATATTACAAAATTCAGAATAATGACAATTAGCTTTACAGGTAAAACTGGATTTACACTTCGGCCATGTGCTGGATTACTTTCAGCACGTGATTTCTTGGCTAGTTTAGCATTTCGTGTTTTTCAAGTTAGTCTTCTTTTTCTTTCAACAAAAAATCATACTGTTTTTAAGGTTTAATTTTTAAGACTAATTAAAAATTCATAGAACATTATTGAATTTTTTTATTTAGACTACCATATACATACGGCATTACGGTTCACCACATCATTCTCCGGAACCGGATTTAATTCATGAATTTATTGGACATTGTCCGATGTTTGCTGATCCGCTCATTGCTCATTTTTCCCAGCAAATTGGACTTCTGTCATTGGGTGCAACTGATGAACAAATTGAACAGCTTGCTACAGTATCTATTTCAAATTTCTAATTTTAAAACAGACAATGCGTTGTTGTTCTTTTTGTCTAAATTCACAATATGTCTAATTTCTATATACACGAAATATTACGATACTTACCGTAACAATTGTATCTGCAGTATTATCATAATGATTTATCAAATATAATAAAGCAATTGAACAGGTTTACTGGTTCACAATTGAATTTGGCTTATGTCGTCAAAATGGTCAACTGAAAGCTATCGGTGCTGGATTACTTTCATCGTATGGTGAACTTATGGTATATCTTCTATAAATTTAACTTTAACAAATTTCATATTAGGATTTTTGAATTTAAAGTTTATTCCAAAAAAAAAAAAGCAAAAAATTGTAGATTGCAAATTTTTAGCATTTTCTCGTAGAATAATTCAAAAAAATAAATAAATTGATTCAGAAGCTAATTTCTTTTATGAGAAAGACATTATCGATGTTTAATCTCACTATTTGATATTTCTCAGAATGACATAAAATTTTACAATAAATTATTATTTAAATTATAAAAGCTTTTAATAATACCAACAAAAAAATATAATGATTGAATGCTATGAATGAAAAATTTTAGCACGCTTGCTCAGATAAACCACGACATGAACCATTTGATCCGCAACGTACAGCATTGCAAAATTACGAAGATTCTGATTATCAGTCACTTTACTTCGTTACTGACTCAATTTTTGATGCTTTAACTAAACTGAGGTACCTATTGATCCTGCTATTATCGGTTAAATCATAATTTTTTGATTAAAATTCTGCAATCGATTTGTTTTGATTTTATTTTATTTTTTGTTTTTAATCGATTTTATTTGTTGCAGTTATTACAGTCTCTTAGGGTATGATTTCTTTTAGCTGACAAAAAAACTGTCCATTTAAACAGAATTCAACATTTAGTAGGTTTTTTTTATCGCTCGAAATTTTTTATTTTTCCGTTTTTTTTAAAGTCTTTTTTTTTGCTTTTTTAAAGTTTCTCTTATGGAAGAGTCTAAATTTTGATTGCTGAATTTTTAGGTAATAACTAATTATTGACTTAAATTTCATCATAATATAATTCATGCATTTATAATTTAATTTCGCAGTAATTTTTCTTATTAATATTTTGCAAGAAATTCGAAACAGAAATAAAATGAAACAGTTATGAGTCAGAAAAATTGATTATAAGTTTTGCAATTGCACGACTTATCATTTTATCATTTTTTATCATTTTAGATAAAAATTTATCATTTTAGAGCTTTTGTGCAAAATTTTCAACGTCAATTTGTGGTCATCTATAATCCATATACAGAATCAGTTGAAGTTATAAAAGAGATGGAAGATCTAAGGGATGGATTAAATCGATTTAAAGGCGAACTATCATCGTTTACTGAAGCAGTGGAAGCACTGAGCAAAAATATTACTAGTAAGTTAATATCAACAAAAATACTAAATATATATAATAAATGAACTTTAATTCAGAATGGATGCAAAAAATATCATACGGTTAGAAGAATTATTGAAGAATTATTTAAATCTTTATTTAGAAAATCTATCAATGCCGCATTAATGTAAAAGTTCTGAAATCAACAGATTTCAATGATCAACAATATTCTTCTATATGATAATCATATTATTTAAAAACTAAAGCTTACAGTTTTTAAATCGTATATCGTTTCTGTTATTTTAAAGTACCAAAGTGTTTGTGTTTACTACTAATTATAATAAAATCTTTACAATTGGTTAAACAATTTATGATTGTACAAAAATTTTCCATCACTTAACCATTCCAAATTTCATTTAAACCATTTACATAATAACAACTAAATTCAACTTAATTTTCAAACGGATAATGAAGAATTTTTTTCTTTAAATTGCTATATATATTTGTAACAAAAAGAACTAAACAAAAAAGGCACACAAACTAAATCACCAATCAAATCATTATCATTAATCGTCAAGAATTGTAAAAATTGCTCAAAAATTTGTAAAATTAAATTTAAAATATTCTATTTTTTTCTCTTCAAAACGATAAAGTAATGACTTAAGTAGTAAAATAAATTGAAAGAACCAAACAAAAAAAAAAACCGATTAAGCTAGAAATTTTTAAACGAACATTTTAAAATTTCTTGAAGATTCCTGACAAATCTTCAAACAATAATGTTTGCAAAAATTAATTTATTACAATTTAGTTTATTAGAAAAGCAAAAATATATATACATATATTTAACTTAGCATGTATATTTCATCTCATAGAATGCACTCCTTCCTTATGTACACTCATACAGTCGGCTGTTTTAGAGCAGCACCTGTCATGTTAAAAAAGCATCTCATATTTCTGGAATTCAGAATTTTGCCTGATTAATTTTAGCCTGATATATAATTGCGAAATTACAAAAGTTTTAATGGCAGTAATGATTATTGTTAAAAGATATCTGAAATATTATCATTTAAACTTCGCTTTATAATTGATGATGAAAAGGTAGGAGAACGTCTTGGATTGGCCTTATAACCCATATCGATATATAAGTTACTTGAACATGACTGTGGTGATTTGGCCTGAAAATACTTCTTTTTCATTTCCATAAAATTACAATTATCTATTACATATTTTATCAATTACTCCATTACGTGCATTATCCATTGGCAAACTCACCATGACTTAAAAAAATTGCAATAAAAAAGCATTTTAATTTGAGAAAGCACTTTTTTCGGCTATATTAAAATTACTGATCAAATACCAGCCAAATTGACAATTGAAATTTAATTTGCAATTGAATTTACCGCTATTTGCAATTGAATTTACCGTCAGGTTGAAATTTAAAATGGCAATACTAAAATAATTAAAAGATTCTCCCTACATCAAAAAAAGTAAATTGAAATCTAAATTTTCATCTGAAAATCCTCCGCAAAAAAAAATTCAGTTCAGTGCATAGATTCCGACTTACTTATTCCGATTAAAATTTTATATATTTTTTTAAAAAGATTTTGAATGGAATTTTTAAGTGAAATCAAAACAATATATCTGATTGACCTTATATTTGATATTAATATTTGTGCGTAAAAGACGTCCATTTAGTGGCTTTAGTGGACGATAATTAGGTGACATCAAGACCGGATTGAGCTGTTTGGTTTCAGTCTGTTGAAGATCGTTCCAAATTTGAAGCTGAAAATATTCATAATTTCAAATCTCTATAATTCATATGACTAAAATTTTTCCTATTTATTTACTTTTTTTTTCTATTTCAAATTTTCCCTCACTTTTCCTCACAAATCTTCCTCCGTGCATTATTATTGCTTCATAAAAATGAGAAAAAAAATCAAGATTAGGTCAAATGTTCGCAATTTAAAAAATTATTTATAAAAAAGTTGAAAAAAAAAATCATACATCTTCTTTGGTGATATAAATTGGATTATTCATGATGACCCAGGTTACTGTTTCAAAGCAACCTGGAAATGTCAATGATCCTTCATATGTTATATAATCTTGAGTTTGTGGCAATAGTCCATATGCACTGAATCGCTTAAGTATTGTTTTTGTACCTGAAAATAGATTGATCATTAAATGTTAGCTTTTAATTATGCTACATTATTTCAATATTCATTCAAATACTTGTAAATTTTTTACTATCATATTTATTTGATTGCTTCACAATTACTTTGTTTTATGTAAAATTACATGTAATACTGTATAATCAAATTGCATTTGTAAGAATAATATAATGGAAACCTTTATAAGTAATACTCTGTGATGCAACAGTTAATTTTCGCAATTCAGTATTTGATACTGTACCCAACTGAAATAATTTCTTTTTGTAAAAGTTTTAGAATAAATTTTTGCAAAATTCTGAATCATTTTAATATTCATTCAAAAGTGATATGTTTCTTTTCTTTCTAAAACTATCATCACATTTTTGTAATTTATTTTGCGGATTTTTGAGCAAAGTTATCAGATTGTAATTTAAAATTTTTGAATTAATTAAATAATCATAAAATTCTAGAAAAGTAATGAGTATGAGTAAAATTACGAGCAAATTCAACACTTACATCAACAATTACTGAAATAGCCAAAAGACCGCGTGATTGTGTCATTGCTTCCGTGAAATTAGCATATAAATCTGTATTGTATGCAAGCAGTTGTACCTAAAAGTTTACAAGACCTTTTAGCTATTTACAAATTCAAACAATAAAAGTAATCAAAATTTCTCTTTCTGTGTTTTCTTTTTTTTTAATTTGACCTTCACATAGCATTTACAAATTAAAAAGTTTTATTTTTTTGCAAAAAATAGAATGCAAAATGTTTTATACCTCAGCTGGAAATCGAACTCGATCAATAGTATGCTCTGATCCTCGTTCATTATTAGCTACTAATCCAAAATGTACCACGACATGATGTAATCGATACCTATCCTTGTAAGGAAATACAGTAGTATATTACAGTATACAGAGACAATGCACATGCTGATATACTGTATATTTACAGTATATCTACAGTAATATGATAAAAGATTATATTTAGGAATTGCAAAAAAATATTCATATATCACCTGTAAGGTGATGAAGGACCACCGCTGATATTGATATTTCCTTGTTCTATTAAAGAATCATTAATAGTTACCAATGGTAGTTGACCCATATTTTCAAATGCTGCTTGTACCTTAAATTGGAGTAAATTCCTTATATATTATCAAGGACGCTAGCGGTAGTAAGTAATGTTAATATAATTTTGATGATTCTATTGATAGTACATTTTTCTAATAATTCTAGCAATAGTAAATGATTAAATTAATCAGTGATTATTTAATATCAACAATGCAAAAAGAAACTAATTTGAAGAATTATCATTAATATGGAAAATCAAAGGTCATTATTCATCTTTTTAGATCTATCAAGTCTTAAATGAAACAGATTACTGAAGTGATTTGGAAAATGATGCTTAAATGAAACTACAAAATAAGATAAGTATACCTGATGTTTATTGATATCAAGAGGTAGTAGACCAGGATCATACAGTAGCACTGATGGATCTACATTGATCGGTGATTGTAGTTGTCCTGCGGTACACATCCGCCAATGTTTGTTAACGAGGCCCCAAAAATCGGGACCTATAATGCAAGGGTAGAAACAGGCACTCATCAACCATGGAATCATACCTTTTGTTACTCTGTGCTGAAATTTGAATTTGCAAAATTCAATCAAGTTTTTAAAAGTATACCTTGTTCGTTAGTTACATACTTTTTTTGCACATTTCATTTTCAACACACTTTATTTGTGGAATATTGTAAAACTTCGTATCTATCAAAATTTTAAAATGGTGGAGGTAAAATTTTAAAAGAAATAAATTAAGCTTACTTTGGCCTTTAAAATCGAAATTAATATATGAGTCTTAGTATCAAAGCAGAACTCTTAATAAGGAGGAGTTTATGAAGGAAAAACAAGACAGAGAAAGAAAAACAGAGGAAGAAAGAGAGAAAAGAGATTTCTAATCTCTTATTATCTTTGTTATTTATTTCTGTGTTTCCGAAGAATTTTCCTATCACTGCGTTTCCCTATTACGGAATGAAAATGTTAAGCATTCATTATTATAATGTGGATCAAATGAAAAATTAATTAGCTAAAATAAAATTCTCATAAAACTTTGTTAAACGATAAATATTCCAAATTTTAAAACAAAATTATAAAAAGCTAATTCATTCTCACCATCGTATATGATATCGAATAGTAAAAATATAAAAGGAAAATGAAAAAAAAAAAAATGAAACCATGAAGTTAAAACATAAACTCTTCAAAATCTTTTAAAATTTCAAAAAAAAGAACTTACTATTTGCTTATTTTTTAGCAAATAGTAAATTCTTTTTTTTAGCATTGTAAAAAGATGATTTAATGAAAAGATAAAAAGATGATAATGATAAAGTAATAACTAGCTGACGAATTCCCCTCGCCAAATACTTCATTTAATTCTACCTCAGATTTAATATTGCTAAGAAAGACGAAGTAACTTACAATTGCAACCTCTCATTACCTTAATTATTTTTCTTCATAGAATCTTTTCTTTTTTCTCTCTCAATACCATTAAAGGTGCTTTTCCTTCAAATAGCACCATTAAGTATTGGGAGATTGTTATTGCGGATGGATTGAAGGAGTGTTTTAAGCCTTCCATTTATTTTATTAATTTCATTGCACTTTTTAAGCTCTAATAAAGACGAAGCGTTAAAAGAAGGAATGTAAAAAATTGATAGAAAGAATATAATATAAGAGGAAAAGAAAAAATTGGAAATGATAAAAAAAAAGCAATGAAATTATCTTAAATTACTCATTCCTTATCATATTTCAATTTAATTACTACTTGACATTAACAGCAAAATCATCTAAATCTAACAAACTTTTAATCAATTCATCACATCACTCAGATAAATGTTCTAAAATGTATATTTTTTAAATATTAAATAACATTCACATTATTGATATTACTAATACATTGATGAAATTTACTTGCGCTGTGAGTAAATAATGTTAATAAAATTGAGGTATCCATTGAAAATTTCATTAGTCGAAACATCTAAAACTATT